AAACGGTCCTCTATCTGCGAGTTCACGGTCCGATAAGTAGTCCGTGGAAATAAATTATTTGATAGGTGCTCGAAATCGCGCGACGGAGGCTCGACAACGACGGTATAAGCTGGACGCACGATCGAACGATCGTCGAAACGTGAAATATAATTTGTGCACGCGTGTAACGTGTTCCCCGGCTATCGGAGGCAGTTAATTGTAATCTTCGGCACATAAACGCTCGACTCCGTGCCGCGACTCATTATTACTCGGCTTTTACCTCGCTACTAGAATTCATATCGCACGCCCTACGTGCCGGGGAAAACCTCCCTTATCGTCCCACCGTATCCATGCCTATATTTTATTCCGGCTGGCTATTCGAACTTCTACATTTAACTCGGCGCGCTGCTCGACGAAGCTGCGAGTCTCGGCGTGGCGGGTCTCGGACGAGTAACGATTTTCAATAGAGGCTGCAAATACCCTTATGTGTGCCACCGTCCTGGACGGCAGAACTCGATGAATATGCATAAAATTCGGTATTGTTAACGCTCAATCTTCGGCCGTTCCTCGCCGCGCTCCTCATTAGCGATGCGTGCGAGATAGCGTGGTCTTAGGCGAAAATCCCAGGCAACGGCCGGACAAGGGCTAGGACGAGCGGGCTTCGAGAAAGAGAACGGAACTTTTAAAAAACTTTTCCTACGGAAACTAGGTGGATGTTATTATTATTTGGCAGAAACGCGGCGCTCACGTAGTACTAGCGGACAACGAGAACGTCGGGTTAAACTATTCGACGACGAGCCACAGCGCCAGCGAAATCGAGGGGGCCGTCGACGGCTAGCCCAGCTGTGGCATTCTAATGTGCTGCCTTTCGGAACTTGACTCGGTGAATTGCGTTATTCAAATTCGCGGCCTTCGACGCTATTTTTCCGACACGCCTTGCAAAAGCGCGCGTCTGGTGAACGAGGAAAGAGAGAGAGAGAGAGAGAGAGAGAGAGAGAGAGAAACATGGGAACGTAGCAGGATCGGCGTACACGAGAGATTCACCAAATTACAGGCAGTCGGTAGTCCGTGAGAGAGCGGACTCTACGACTTCTCGCATTTTTATCGCTATCGACGATCGCATTAAGGCTCGGGCGACGGTACGCGCCGGGGGAGGAATTAGCGTCGGTGGATCGCACGACAAAACGGATGCGCGCGGAATATAATGAGGCTCCGCGCCGAGGCGGATGCGGCGAACGAAAGAGATTAAATACGCGTCTCTGAAACTCGAGGAAAAAATGGAGAAGAAATGTGCCGTTTGCGAAACCGGTGCGTGCACCCCGGCGACAGTACGTATCTCAGCTGCGCGCACACGTGTGCAATGCGGGAAAAGCGGGCTGTAGATACCGCGCGTGGACACCGCGAATGTTTCATTTTCTCGGGATTAAGTAACCGCCGCGCGGCCGTTACATGCATGCGCTCGCCGCTATTAACGATTTAATTAGCGTAAGTTTTCATCTCCCGGATTACGGTCAGAATAGCGGCGTGCCGGCGGGGGAAGGGGGGAGGTGCGGCGGAGATACAGTCAGCGTCGGGAACAGGGGGATACGAAGTACCTAGAGCGCGCGGCGCCCGTTTTTCACCGAGGCAGCCGGCTTATTATTGCGTTTTCGCGGATTACGCTCCCCGGGCTCGCGGCAATTTGCCGCTTGCGTGTAACGTAACGAGTCGAGAAGAGTGTCATTAATTTCGCGCGGCTCAAGGATTCCGAAGAAAACGGCTGCGGGCGCGAAATCGCCGTTGAAGATGGACAAACAAAATGTCGTAATTTAATCCCCGCCGCGAGAAAGCAACTTTTCTCGAGCAGATACATTGCCTCGTTCTCCACGAGAAATTATAATCGACGTTAATCTCATTTCCATGTCGGAGTAATGAGCCGGGCTGTTTATAAGCCACGTGTACTTTTCTCAACTTACAGCTCCACCTTTCCTGGCGAACATCTACTGGATTCGTTTGACCGACGGTTCTCACGATTCCGACACTGGCTTTCATTCCGTTAAGTCGCCATTCGTTGTTTTGATTTAAGTAGAACTATACTTCTAGTAAGAACATCATATATCCGGTGGGTCCACCAGACGTGCTCGTGACATCAAACTCGAGTGGATCGGTCGACGGGTTAGCCGCTAGAGAAACAACCGCGACAGGCGTAGAAACGAGAGAAAGGGGGGGGGGGCGAAATAGAGGGGCCCCTGCACGTACTGTGTGCTCTCCTCTCAAACTATTTATTCCGGCACAAATCGCATTACCAACTTCAACTGCAAAATTGACTTCGTCCAACTTTTACGGCGCCTCCGCCCTTACGTCCCTTCGACGCCACCCGCACGGTCAGAACTTCGACTTGTACGAGGGTTTACCAAACTCAGTTTAAGAAGAAGAAGAACTGTTTCAGCCGTAGAAAGAGAGACGCATCTTGCGGGACTTTCTCTCCTGCCTCGTCGATATAAAATCGCATGACGCGAGCTTCTGGCAGAATGGCAGTTTGGAAGTTTGAGTCGTCAGGTATAACGAACGCGGTACCATAATCGTTACATGTTGTTCCTCCCTCGTCGAGCCAGACTTGACGGATAAAGCTGAATTTTTGAACCTCGCTCCTCATACTGACACATTTTCACTTATAAATCGTCTTTCCGCGCCTTCGTTTTAAATATTCATTCCGCTTAGAATTAACGAGCTTCTCATGCACATATATGTCTGCCACATTTTTTCTTAGATTCCACTTAGGTTCCACGTAATGCACAACCTTAATGACGCCCGTGCTCCCATTCCTCACGCGGAACGAAGTAAAACATTATGATTACCGACGTTGAAAAAAAAACATTCGTTTATGAGCTCTGGCGTCGTACTCCGAGATATTGCTATTAGGCGATCTAATTCGTTCGAATGCCTTTCCGCAGCGAGAAAGAGAGAGACAGAGAGCGTCCGCGCGCTGCGCGTTCTCTTGCACTTTCTCGTTTCCTCTCTCGCTTTCATGCTCGGAGCAATTCCATTCGATTTCATGTGCACAAGTTTTACTAGTATTCGCGCTTCAACTGGTGCGTCCAATCGGAAATCCGGCAAATGTACTGCGGCCACGGCACCGCAATTCGACGGTATCATCGCCGGGGAGCTCGCGCGGCCGTGATTAATCAAAACGATAAACTATTCCTTATTAATAAGCCCTAAAGCGGTTCGCGCCCGAAGAGTGGGGCTATAACTCACGACGGAACAGATACCTTCTGGGCTTCGCATTAAAATTGAAATTAGCCACCCATTTGTCTTCCCGTTTGGCTTAATCGTGACTAGCCAGGTGATTTATGATTTTCACTTCTGCCGGGCGCGAGTGTAGTTTCTCTTCCCGGATACGGCGCGCAACGCGTAATGCAATTCAAACCCGAAAGCCGACGAAGGAAAAAAAGAAGTTTGGGCGCGGGGGCGCGATGAAAAGCGTCCTGCTTATACCCACGTTGCGTGATCGCGCTATAACAGCTGTTGGAAAATAGTTTTGTTCAACTCGCGGAACACCTTATTACATTCTAAACACGCGTGGTCGTCCCGTGATATAATGCCGTCGCGTTATATCACCTCATGCCGTGACACTGGCCACCGTTTATACACACCTGTATAACCCAGTTTATTGCGTTTTAATTGGCATTAACCGCTGTAAACTTAGCGAGAAGCTGCGGGCGCGTATAGCTGGTAATGCTGGTATGCGGAATCGCAGTTAGCACTGTGATTTTCTATGATCTTCATGAATATGCAGGAAGACCTTTTCGAGGTAGCGTAACATGATCGATCGATAATAACAACGGTGAATAATATACTTTACGTATTGAGCATACATATTCAAATAGGCAAGGCGGCATTGAATTAAGTGAATGATTAACTGATAGTAAAAAAAATATAACGGCCACAATAACACATAAATAAGTGAATACAAGCATGCTGATACGTGTCAATTATAAATCCGTGAAACTGACAACATTTATGACGTAAAAGTTTCAAGGTATTGTATCTCTCGAAGCACGTAAACTTCGGATATGAAATTTACAGAAAATCTCGTTACACAGACACGCTCGTAATAGCTTTCGCAACGCGTTCGAGGAAATGCAACAAAGGTTCCTGGTTCTATATCAGGTAGACGTGCACTGTTTGCGAACACTTGCTCTAGTTTCCGATCACGCGGTGGCTAATGTGTGCACTCAACCACATTATGTATTTCATATTGATGTGCAGAACTTGATATCACCGATTTGCGTAACAATCAGTATACAGAACAGGTTTAAATAGATACGTAACGCGTATAGTAAATCTCATGCGCTCGTAAAATATTGCATGGCCTAGCCGCAGGATGTTAACATCGTGCATTGGAAATGCTGATGCTTAATGGACGTATTACAAAAAATTTCAAAAATTTTTATGCTTACGTCTCTTTAGTTTCATTGCCGCAACCACAAATTTCCACACTTTTTCAAACGAACTTCAAATACCGATCATATTATCGCAATATATATTTTCTAAATTGCGTATCATCGTTCGCGTAAATATAATCTTGCATAATTTTTTCACTGAATTATATAATTATAATTATTCGTGACATAGCATATTCAAAGATTAAGAATAAAAAAATCTAGATTTTTCAAATCAGGAAATTTAACATTCTCAAATATGAGACAGAGCATGTCTTTATCGGTTGTATAAAATTATTCATGTAAAAGAAGGTTAATCTCGTTTTCTGAAGGAGATGCTATGCGTTACCTATATAGTTACAGACGTTACAGTAGGAAGCTTTGCTCGAGGTTCTTCTCGCTTCCTGATTATTCAACGAGTCGTGTTACATAGTAGACCTGGAGTATATTCAGTTCAAGGTGAACCACACTTTCCGCCACCATAAATAGCGAAATCGGCACGGTATGGGGGGATCGTGACGTAGACGAGGGTGGGGTCTGTCAGTCGCTGTCGAAAGAAACGATCTATGCCACTACGCGGAATAACCATGTTCCGTTTCGTGATGCAGTGGTCTCCCGATCGCGGACACGGTCGAGACCCTGAAGCTCGAAAGGTTCCCCGATAAAGCTAAAAACGCGTCGAAACGAATTAACGGTCAGTCGATCAGTGTCGTGACCTAGGTCGTCGATGGGCTTTCGACCGTACGCATCATGGAATTGATTTGGGTGCTCGTCCTGCTCTTCGGGTTTGTACGCCCGTCCCGGCCGTCGCACCTCGAAGTGGCTTACCAGTGGAAATATCTCGATTGGGTTTGGCCAAATATACCTCTGACGGGAAAAAACTATACGCTGGGCAATGCCTTCACGCAAGACGTGGATATCGACAGACAGGGCCGCATATTCGTCACGAGTCCGCAGTGGTTGAACGGTGTACCAATTAGTTTGTCTTTGGTGACTAAAGCGCATGGTCCCGGTGGTCATTTACTCGTACCGTATCCCAATTGGTCCTGGCACATATCGTTCAGTTGCCAGAGCATCGTATCTGTCTACAGGATAGCGGTAATTTCACAACTGATACTAAGATTGAATTCAAATTGTAGTAAAAAAAATTTTTGAATGCGTGAAACTTACGCGAATATACGTCATTGCGTTCGTTCAAAATTTTTTCGCTATCAATTTGATGTTAAATATTGTAACAATAGGTAGGATTGATGGATTGGCATGTAATCTTTAGATCGACGAGTGCAATCGTTTATGGGTGGTCGATACTGGCAGAGTAATGATGCGAGCGGTTTGCCCCACGAAAATATTGATCTTTGATCTCGCCACGGATCAGCTGATCCATAAATACGTGGTACCGGATGATCAAGTGCTGTACGGGAAGGCAGCATTAGTTACGCCAATCGTCGACGTCGGAAAAACGTGTCTCGATACTTATCTCTACGTGGCGGACGTGGATCAAAATGGACTGGTGATTTATGACTTATATCGCGACCATTCCTGGCGAGTAAACAACACCCGTGGTAACGCTTTTGGCCCGGATGAGGATGCTATGAATATTACGATCGCCGGCGAATCGTTTGATCTAACTGACGGTACGCTCGGTATGTCACTGTCGCCGTTGGGATACTTTAATCACAGGTACCGACGCTAATTACTATCATTTTGGATACAGTCAATTTGTAAACCGAAAAACACTACGTTACATGAGTTTCAATCGAAATTGAGATCCGGTCGTTTATTGAAACTACTTATAAAAGCTCAACAAGTTGAATGCGAAAATGTTGTCTTTACTCAGCATAATAAGATATATAAAACAATGTGGCTGCTTAAATGTTTTCTTTATTTAGCTTGCTATTCTATTTCTGGCTATTTATCTGGCTATTCTATTTTTACATCGTCGAGAAGGATTTAGAAAATTCTCGTAGTATAAATACGATCGAAGCTTTTGCTACAAAATATGATGCTAATTGAGGAAAAGTCGTTTGCCATTTGTCACATGCTTACCACTTTCAGATATCTGTATTTTAACTCGCTCGCGAGCTACTATCAGAAATACACGGATACATTATCGCTGATGCAAAGCGAGTACGGGGAACCAGTAATATTTCAATCAAATTACAAGCGCGCGAGCCAAGCGGGCGTGCAGGCAACCTCTCGAAGAGGCGTAATATTTTTCCAATTGGTCCAATTAACTGCCATTGCCTGTTGGGACATCGGGAAACCATTTACTCCGGAGAACGTCGTGATAATAGCACAAGACGAGGAGACTCTGCAGTACGTGAGCGGCATTAAGGTGATCACGAATAAGGCCGGCGAGGAAGAATTGTGGTTCAATACCAACAGGCTTCAGAAGACGATAAACATGAGCCTCAAGCCGACGGAGACAAACTTTCGAATAATTAGAGGGACGGTCGACGACATCATCCGGGGTACAAATTGCGAGCCGTCCGGCGTGAGAACGGAAACCCCAGACATCGTCTTTTGGCACCAAATATAATTTACCAAGACACACCTTCTGCCTTTCATTACCTCATTTAAAATGTCTTTATAGTGTTCCTGTATATTTTATGTTATACTACCATAAAATTGTGACGAACGAAATAACGAGCGAAATCGTTAATGATTATTTTTCCAAATAAACTTGCGCATAATGGCGCGTCTTTGTAAAATTCGCTCTCTTCCTTCCACATCGCGTCCAGATGAGATGGATTTGTAACTAAAAGCGACGTATCGTTCGCATATCCGCGCACGGTCGAATAGAAGGACGGAGTGGCAGCGAGGTCCTGCGAATGACAGCCGGAGCGTGTAGCAATTTAGTTAACCGTTTCATTGCTGCCTTTTGAGATGTAACGATGAGGTCTGTCGGTGACACGAGCGCCGCCGCGAGCCCCGAATGTTTCGACAGGGTGGCTTGACGCCGTCAGTAACGGGGGTACCGTCGACGAGTTCCATAGCGGAGGAGGTGGAGGAAATGGGAAACGACGCGACGAATTTCTTGTCGACGAAGTTTTACCGAGCTTTTAGGTTGTGCCGTCGCCGATTCCACTGGCTGGTGCCGGATCCGGAATAAATGCGCATTCACGGGGAATTGTTCGCGTTACTACCCCCCGGGATACCAATAGGGCGCGCGCAATTCCGAGAAATTCGTGTCACCTACTTCTCTTTCTACACCGCGGTTCGGCGTGTGACTAATGGCGGCATATTCATGGCGCACCCTCCCGGTACCCCCCCCCTCCCCCCACGACACCACCCGATCCTCCCTCTTACGAAGCTCTGGCAGTTAACCTCAGACAACCCCTTCGTCGCGATAATATACGGCTGCCCTTAAATTTTCGTTCCCCTCCGGCATACTTGTTCGGCCTATCTCAACTCGTTGAGCAAAAGCACACTCTTTTCTTTTCCGGAATAGCTTTGGCCAACCCTGCGATTATTATTACCAGGTCAAATCGATTTTTTTTGCAGCGATTACGTCAGTACGTAACATAATGGAAGTATCGTGAAAAATCGTTAATCGTTCGTAAGATGAACGTGAGATATTGTACTCTTGAGCTTCGTTCGTGCGAAAGTACGTGTCTTTCTCATCTCGAACATATCGACCCGTGTTTATCTTTATACCACGTATGAATACTAATCGGTTATGGTAAAATAATGTTGTGTATGCCGGGCGAAGCGTTCGTACGATAAAGCACATTTTCCGCGGCGCAGTCGAGAGCACGCTCCCACGATCGTGATCGTTACCTTAAGGGCAGGATGTGGAATTACTTAAGGAACGGTAGTACGCCGCGGTAAAGTCTCACCGTGGGCTCGGTGTATCCGCGACGCGGGAGGAGGGATGTCTCAAATCGTTTTACGAGGATAGTTTTAAAACGACTTTACGAGAATAGCTTGGAATTTTGAAATAAATTTGCATCGGTTTTACAGCCTTTGATATACATAACTACCGGTTTGGCACTGATACTCGCGCATATACGGGCCTGAACGGCGCTCTAGTGCTCGCCGTCGATGACATACACTGTGGAACACGTCTATTCTCCTGAAGAAAAAACAGGCGCGTGTACTCTGGCTGTCATCCTTTTTTTATTACTGCCAAAACGATATCCGCGAGACACGCGTTTACGCAATATCTCCGCTTCCAAAGAGAAACGATGATAAATCAACATAATCCGCAGTATTTTGACTTCGCAAGAAATCACAGTTCTTATGTATTACATTATTATATCATCATTGGTAGCAGAATTTATTGTGATCGTTAAATATTCTGAAACTTGGGTTCTTTCTCGAATTTATTTCTGACAAGAATTTCCTGACAGTTTTAAATAATTCTGTTACTCCATAAAAGAAAGTACAATATATTCTTCGGGGTTTCGTTGAGCAGTCCGGAACGAGCTGTGCACGGAGCGTAACGTGAACGAGTGCGTCGGCGACGCGGTACGTCACGCAGCGGCAGCATCGCGTCGGTTCGCAATTCGGCGGAACCGCGGCGTTCCCGGCCCGACCGATGGAACGCCGGGCGAGAATTTCGGGCATCCACCGCGTCTTTATTAAGTCCGGCTCGTCTATAATTCACAGGAGAGAGAGAGCGCGCGGCCGTAGGCCGTCCTGACAGTGGCTCGGGCTCACCGGCCGCATAAACACACCGAGCGTCTCGCGCAGGAGACGTCCATGCGCGCACACGGCCGTGTGTGCCACGCATTGCGGTTGTCAACCCTAGTCAACGTGTAATTTACTAGCTCGCTCTCCCCCGTTCTCTTCCCCTTCGGCACGATGCAGATGCAGTCGCCGGTTTTGGACTCGGTCAACGCGGCGGTGGCGTCTGGGCGGTCGCAGCAACAGCAGCAGCAACAACAACATAACACCGTCAACAGCGGCCGTCGTTACCGTTCCCGTTTCTGCTGCTGCCGCGACTAGTTACGATGCAAATGGATAACGCCGCTACACTGGCGAGAACCGTCCTCTGACCACTCGGAACCCGACGACCGCAGGGCTGCTATAAACCAGCAGAGTACGCCGCTACGTTCTCCCGAAACGGCCGGAACTTTCGAGCTGTCGCGCCGAGATGATCGTCGAGATTATCTACCGCTCTTGCGCGTGAGCATTTCTCGCGAAATATTGGGAAACTTTTCGCTTTCGCGTAAATCCCCCGTTTTTCCCTTCTCTTTTTCCCCGAATTCACATTCGTATTCCACGTGTGTCACGTCAACCGTATACTGGAGTTGTTCGTACAATTATTAACACAATTCTTGAAACGCAATTTCCATTTTAATTATCATTCGTATCGCAATTGTTTCGACGGTTTAAGAAACGTGTGCATTGAAATTATTTCTTTCTCTTTGATACTTTTACGTTGCGAGGCTTCGTCATGCGGAGAACGTGTTCCACGTATAAATCAACTCATCCGTCTATCTATCTGCCTATTTGCCTTCAGCGCTACGAGCTCTACTCACTCTCTCCTTCGGAATCTCGCAAATGGTTTGCTTCCTCTTACCGCACGCACCGCTATGCAACGCTCGGTCGAAATGTCGTTTACTACAGGAACCGGTCTCTTACGTTCGCAACCGTTCGTTACCGTTAGTTCCGCCTGACGTAGCGCGTTCGCAACGTAAACACGTACGTGTGCACGGTGCCGTACAGAGAGAGAGAAAGAGAGAAAGAGAGAGAGAGAGAGAGAGAGAGAGAGAGAAAGAGAGAGAGAGAGAGGCCGGAGGAGAGAGGCCGCGTTTTGAAGGTGTGCCTGCTTTGCCTTCTGCCATTCGTTACCTTTGCCGCGAGTGCACACGCGTGTCTGTAGATGTGCCTGACATTTCACTTTGGTCTCTTAGGCGTTCACGAGGCGCGATACGCGACTGATCTCACGCCCCGTTGAATATCACGCGGCGAGAACTAGTCATTGTCGTCTTTACCGGGCCGGCCACCGAATAACTTTCGGTCTAGACGATCTCGTCTCGGTCTTTCGCGAGTTACCTTCACGACTCCAGCCGCGGCTTTTATCTCACTCGGAGAGAAGAAAATATAGACCTCGCGCGTGCAATTAAAATAATTTGCGCCGCTTACAACGGAAAGTGTAACGACCAGCCAGAAGTTCGGAAGAGTTAATTTGTAAAACGGCCCATTCGGTTAAATTACGCGCCAGATCTTTGTTGTAAAACTTCCTTTCTCCCGTGAAAATTGCCGGGTCATCGAGCGCGTATCACTTGTACATTCACTGCCAAAGCGCCGTAATCTCGGTACGGCACACGGCTTTCGAGGCCCTTTCCGAGTAGAAGGATTCATGACGTGTCTGCAAAGTATGAATGCATAATCCCTACCGTGCCACTTGCCAATTTTCGTACATCGATGTATCGTGAAAGGAACGATCGTTGTAGATCGTAATGAATAGCTCGGGTGGAAATGTACTGGGTCAGGTGCAGGTACCAATGGAAGGATAGCTCCGATGAATGTAGCGAGTGCAGGCGCGGGAGAGGGAGGTGCAATCAGCGCGATGATAACCAGTATTACCGCGTCTACCCATCCCAGGCCGCCGATCTCCGCGGCGTAATTCCCGGGGGTTCTATTTGCGACGAGAACAAGCGGCTAGTATGACGGCAATCCAGAGGATGATGTATTCGGTGTTATTTATTTCTAGCGATACCGAGCCGACCGATTGGCCGAGTGACAAAATAGAAATCAGTTCAGAATGCTCTCGGATATTCGTGCTTTCAGTCAAGCTTTGTCCCTTCTGTTGGCCTATTCGTCGATATCCTATTTTTCACGTGAATCGCGTTCTTATCGCAAAGTTCTTTTCAGAATAAAAGCGTTTAAAAATCGCTCGTGCATTTTGATACTGAAGTAATTTCTATAAGCCAGATCTACATTTATTTCTTTGCTTCATAATTACGGCGTGATTAGATTCTTACTTTGTCCTTACATGGGAGGTAAAGAACCACATTTGGTTATTTGCTCTTCACTCGCTTGCGCGTACATGGGAAGATGGAAGCTTAAACTCACGAGTGAGTTTTCATCGAGAGGAAAACTAAGGAAGACGCGACTAACAGCTGGATGGAACTTTCTCACTGCGTGGCATACAAAGTAAACTTGCTAACGTTGTCTCTCACTCACTAACCCGCGTTCCTCTCGTCGTCCTCGTCTCCTTCTTTCGCATATTACCCTCTCTTGCGCTACGTAATATTTCCGCCTATTCATATCCATATATTCACCACCGCTGTGTGCGTGTGCGCGAGCCCATTTTTCGCGTCCCTCGAAAGTAATACAACTCTCTACTCCAGCAGGCACCCTATTTATTTCCGTACAAATTTCAGGAGGCAAACAGAAACAATGATTTTTAATAATATCGCATACGTGCTTGCAATACAGAAAAGGAAATCTTCTCTCGATTGTTTTAACGTACTAAAAGACTGAATACAATAATTACTATATACTTGTTGTAAGTACACGTCTTACGTCTAGTGCTATAATTATTTTTATTTTGTTTTTTCTTCATTGGAAATAAATTTACTTTATTATACGGACGATTATTATCGCTCAACTCATGCTGAAGCACGTTACGACAATATTTAATTCCCTCGCGATGGAACAAGGATTTTTATGGTCTTTGCTTAAATACTCGGAGGCAATCGTGATATCTTGGCTATCAGAGCCTGTTGGAATCTACGCCGTCGCGGAGCGGAGCTACTTTTAGAGTTAAATAAACCTTATACATATCCGTCTTACCGCGATGAGACACGTGCTGCAGATCTCACGAACGAGTCTCTTACGTCATACATAATTTATTCAGCGCCGTCGTTGCTCGTGTTTTACGCTCGATTGAGAACGCCATGTTATTATAATTCCACAATTTACGTAGCGAAAATACGACAGCTTCCTTGACGGCGTGCTTCGCCATCCAGACCATCGCGCAAAAATCGTTAATATCACTTCATGACAAGCGAGACCACTCTTCAGCAAGTTAGCTGAAGAAACTCGGTAGTTGTTTCCTAACAAGAGTCGGGGTCGGGAATCGGTTGTTTTTATCAGTTGCGTGAGCGCCCTACGTATGAAAACTTCCATCCGCTCACGCCCTGTTTCCTGCTACGAAGATGACGGCTAGATGGACGAAAAGAGCGCGCGCGCGCGCGCGCGATGGAAGGGCGCGGGGCGAGGGTAGGAGCCGGAGAGGAAGTTGTTGGACCATGTCGACTGCTTCCCAAGCCAGCCGAAGTGGACCTATCGACTCGAAACGAGTGTGCTCGACGTTAAAATCCCGGTCGCTGCTCCCGTTTCTAAGCCTCCCCTCTACTGACCGTCATCACTCTTTCTCTCTTCCTCTCATTCCGCCAACTTTCTGCCTTTCCCTCACGTGTATGGACGAGCGGGCGCGCGCGCGCGTGCTCGTCTACTTGCTCGTGTTAGACGTAAACGATGCAATGGGGGGGTGGACACGGTCCAGCAAATCCGAAATCCCCTTTTCCTCGATATAAAGCTTCGTCCCTTTTTTCGGCTTCGATCCTCCACATAGCGAGATTTCGCGCCGCTACTCTGTGTGAACCCAAGTATCCACCGATAAAACCGAGTCGCTAGTCGTAACAAACGAAATCGACACTGCCAGGTCAGACTCTCATACGTGAAGTCGCGCGTCAACAGTAGAATTCAATTCCGAACTAGACGCTAACTTTGTCTGATGTATTTCGATCGTTCTATAAATGTCGAAGTTGGATCTATATACCTACATATTTAGCACTGATTTTCGAAATTGACATTTCGATTCTATAGAAACTTGTATTTTCTTTTTTTTTTGTTGAACACAGATTTTCTAGAGATATAATTTCTTAAATTTGATGGCAGTATACAGAAACTTATGTCAGAAATATTTTAAGGCTTGGAATGATATGAATGAAATATCGTGATGATATCATATTAATTACCTACAAATATGATACTATATGTAATTGCGAGATATCGTGATATGTCGTTAACGAGTGAATTATGTTAAACAACGCTTACAGAGGAGATAGTCGGTAGGGATGGTATTTCTTCGCAGGGGAGTGACAATATTATTCTGTTTCAGGGTGTGACGGGCGACCGGCTGGCCGGGGGCGCCGCACACCTCCTCCACCTCTTCTTCTTCTTGCCACGACCACAACACACAATGTAACAACAACTACTACTACTAGTGTCGTCCGCGCGAACCACGTTCTCAATGTACTCGATGTGGTACGTCACTATACCCCTACTCGGTGTCTCTGAAGATATGTCATTAAGTTTTAACACACACGTGTATCTCACTTTTTTACGTTATCGTGCCACACAATTAGTATTTCTCGTTGATGTTTTGATGGGAGAGAAAGAGAGAAAGAGCTCTGCGAGGCTCAAGATCTGCCTTCGCCCATTGGGCGAACGTGGACCCGAGAGTGCTCTGTCTATATAATTGGCAATCAGGTCAGATTCGATGGGGGCGTACACGCAGTATTCCGCAAATTCTCGTAGTACTAAATTATTTCGACGAAATTTAACGTCGCACTACTGTGACAGAGGCATCCCTCGTGTGCACGTACGTATTCACGCGTCATTTTTACATTATGTATACGTTTTATATTTTACATATACATCTATTCATTCGTCACACAAACACACACACACACACACACATATATGTATTGGTGGATTATGTCTTCACTGTTCGCTGAATTCCGTTACAATGTGACTTGTGGTTGGTTAAGTTTCGTTGGTTTATCGATGTTCAATGTTGACTGCTATTGTTGGTTGTTAGGTGTTTAGTGGTCATTCTGTGTTGGTGCTCACCCCCTACCGACTATTCCTTGTATTCGCTGTATTCCCGACGACGAGCACCCTACCCCCATTTCCACACAACACGAATCCCTAAACTTGATGTTAGAAGTTACGATATCAAACTTGCCTGCCGCCATCTTCTCTGCAGACTGGCGGCTTTCGAATTTATTGATATATAGACGAAAATGGTAAGATTTCTAAATATTCACTTTTTCAATAAGCATGCTGTTATTATTTACAGGAAACTGTCATAAATCTGCATGACATATAATGCATTTAAATTTTCAATATCATGATATCGTTCATGAATTTTGAAAGCGCACAAGAGAATTGTGAATAAAATGCTTTTCAAATTGGCAGACGAAAAATAAATCGACCACTATTTCGCTTTATGGCGAAATTTAAATTGATTTGAAGGATATACATTTATATAATATATATATATATAAATCTTCTTCGGCCTGATATACATATATACATTAGACCGAACAAGATTTCTATGCCATATGCGCGTGAGAAATTTTTCTGAAAAACCATTTTCCGCTCAGCCAGCGCGCAGCTTAGGAATGACCGACATTTGATTAGAGAATAGTACGTGCTATTGTATTTTTCTTCTGGCATGCACGTTTCACATTTTCTTTATCTCTATCGAACGTGTTTCTGAATATTGAAGGCCTTGAGCACCGTTGCGAAGTTTTATTTTACTCTTTACGCCTCAATACATATTTCAATAACAAGTTATCTTCTCTGTCTATCCATTCGTTTAAATGGCAATTTTAATGTAATAGAAGCACCTCGTGGAATAAACAAATCGGCACGCTGACATGTAAACACTATTGCACGCAAATGAGCCGATAATTATATGCGTGTAAATATTGTTCTCTAAATATGTTTTACATCTGTAATGATAATTAAGCTGAAAGCTCGCTACACGTTTGGTCCATTCTTTTAATGAGCTTGGAAAACGGTAGCAAACACTGGTCCGATGGTGGGTTAATCTGCGGTTGAAACGCTTGAATTCTTAACGAGGACGAACCGAGAAGGGGCAAGAAAGAGAGACATACTTTTTAAAACAATTACACGAGTAGACAGCATGAAATTGGATGCTTTAACGTGAACGCTAGATACTCACGTTTTTTTCTTCCTCCCTACGCGATATGATGTGCGATCTTGATAACACAAAGAATAACGTACGTTTCAATAATTACAATTTAGTAAAAACAATAAAATATAATCTAACGTTTCTCGTTCGACTAAAAATTTAGAAAAAAAACACGAGAAAGTGTGCGCGATACGACAAAAATATTTATTATACTTTCTTCCCATTTTCTTCGAGTTATGCGATCGATCGTAGCAAATTACGTTCCAAACTTCCCATTTCCCTCGGAACTGGTCGCCGGCACTTTATTCTATTTGATAGCGATGGCGAGCCGTGGTGAGCAAATGGCTCCTAACAACGACGTATGTGAGAAAGGGACGCAGTTAGTCCGGAAGCATTTATTTGCCAGCGGGAGGTTTCTCGTAGTTTTACAATGTGGTCGCGCGACGTTCCGCAAAGGCAGCTCGATTTCAGGCGCATCCCGATAATATTAAAAAGTAATTGGATTGCGATCCGAATGATGGTTGTTGCCGATTCGACGGCCGGCGGCGGCGGCGGCTACATCGCCGAAGGAAGGGTGATAGAATCGGCATCAAGAGGCAGGGTGGGGGAGAGGGAGGGGGAGGGAGGTAAAGGCGGGGATTCGCAGACCGGAATAATGGACAGTCGTTAAATTTAATTGGCACATAATTATCGGAAGTCCAGGCACCAAGCAGATCGCCGCGCGCTACCAATCGTCGCACAGTCCCATTGCTCGGGGCTTTAATATCGAGGAAATTCACGTGCAAAGGGAGAAGGGAACATCCCATTTCGTCCGCGCGTATTTGGTAGAACATACCCTCGGTGCTTGTGGTTTGTGCCGGCCTAACGAGTCCGGAATCGACCTGCCCTTCATCCGAAATCGCTTTCCAACGCCGCGCTTTCCGTTTCCTTCCTTTTTATCTACCTAGCCGCGCACACGAGCGTCAAATCGCTCTCGTCGTTTTTTATTTCTCTCTGTGCGTTACGAACGCGTCCGCGCGATCTCCCTCAACTTGAACATCCCCGTGACTAGATTGAATCTTCGCAGAATGTAATTTGTCTTGGACGCCCTTCGAGCTACTACTGTGAGAGAAATTTGAATAAAATAATAAAGCGTTCGCGTCTGTGTGTCTGCGAAAATGATAGAGAATGAATAAAATAAAACAAAACGTAACAGAGAACGAAAAAGCGAGTCGAAATAGATAAAAGTCAACGATTGATTTTCGGTAATGCGAACAATCGTCTTGAGAGATCACCTTCGTGGTGCAAACATCTCGCGCCTTTACGAGATTCTTGCGGGGCGTCGAACAGGCCGTAATTAAATAAGAGCTATAAATATGAGACCGTTCGGACAAATTAATTTACGTATCAATTATTGGAGTAGCGTTCGGATATCGCTATCGCGACGATAAGTACAGCCCGTATACAACGTTAGCGGCAACTCATAGCTGCCATATCGTGGCTCGGAGCTACAACTAGGCGGCGCGGCGTGTCGGATTATATGTTACCTCGATATCATCGTATACCAATAAATAAGCCCCGCCGATATCATCTTTCATTTCGATAATTATTATTCGACGCGGTGTTAATTAATTAAGGACTGAGGTCGCCGACTACCAGGGAGGGTGAGCACCTTTTCCCCCCCCCTCGACCCCGCTTCATTTCGCGCACTCGGAACGGCAGGCAGGTAGACGGGCCACTCCGGGCATATATAACCACGATCGCGCCAGGTGATAACTCCTCGAGCTCTCTGGCTAATTACCGGATGAAAGAGCTATCTGGCGACTGTCGTCAAAGCACCGGTGAGAGTCAGTAAATGCACCTGCCGCGCTATTGTGATATTTTAGCGCGCTTCCAGCACGGTTTCGCGTACAGCCCACAGCCGCGCCGCGCCGGTCTCGAGATATCTAATTTTCATTCGGCGTTTTCAGCCCCGTGTACATGAATACCGCAGTCCCGGCCGCGGCCCAGCTGACGGGATATGCAACGAAATGTGCGGGTATGCATGCGGCAAACGAAATGTTATTCTCCGCCGCGCCGTTCTGTTTAAGCATAATTATTATTTCCTTTGCATGTAGCTCATTAAAAAGTGACGGGCGTTTCGTTCAATCTTTTTTTAACTTCGTTAAAAAGTTAAAAGTTGAAAGCAGTGAAGTATCTCTCAAGTTTCAACTATTTCGTAACGCGACGGAACCGGACTGTTTAAATATTAAAATTCATTGTTGTGCCAATATTTCACCTATAAAAAACATAATTAAAAATTGTTATTTGTAATTTGGAATAAAAAACTAGAGACGTTTTATGTAAGATTGTATATACATATGTATTTTTCTGGAGGATCGGGACACAGTTTTCAAGAATGACAAAATATACGGAGCACCGCCAATGAGACGAAAGATTCTGGAGTGATTCCTTCGATGTAAATTGTCTGAGACATCAGAGACGTTCAAGTGTGAAGCATGCGTGAGATCGGCACACGAGGCAAATACTGGGATTACGAGAGCCATGCTATTCGGCCAAAAGCCAAGAGAATAAGCAAGAGAGACAGATAGGAGAGAGAGAGAGAGAGCTCTTGTAATTTATTAATTTAATGCGTGACTTTTTGGGTCAGAATCGTATCTGGGTGAAAGGTTGTTGGCGGCGTTCCCGGATAAGAAAAAAATATTTCCCTCCTTCCCCGCACCTCTTCGCTGTTCTGTCGCGCGTATCTACACGTGTAGATGCTTGGTGTCCCGTCCGCGCTGGTGGAAGCGACTCGTCGCAAACAAATAAATAAAGGCGGCGTCCGCAGCGTAGGCGTCCGACGCAGGAGTGCTGCTGAATATTTGATCGTTCTGCCGGGCGTTACGTTGACCGAGTACCTGGTCATGGGGTTGCTCGGTCGCAGAGGGAACCGCGTTTTCCCCTTAACCCAGTATGAGAAGTCGGAGCGAAAAAGGGGGACGGAGTTTTATTGCTATATGGCGTAGGCGTTTGGCGGAGGAGTTTCCCGCCCTCGGGGCTGACGAAGTCCGGATCTTCTCCCGTTGGGGAAAGAAGAAATATTTTATACCGGAATAAGGTCACATCTCTTTATTATGGCTCGCACGCCGCGATCTACGATCTCCTAAATCTCAAGAATTTCAATCCTCACATTGTAGCATGTAATAATTGCACGTCGTCATGCTTGATACTTGAAAATAATGCCCGCACGCGCCTTTCGATGCCTCGAAACAACCGGGGCTTTGAGTGGTTGCGCGGTATTGAATTCAGCGATGCAAATAGGCTCGATAACGCGCGCGACAGAAATTCAATAGTCGATAGA